CATGTAAAGGAAAGAATGAATGGGGCCATGTATCGTGAGATTTTGAGTGAAAACCTCCTTCCATCAGCAAGGGCTTTGAAGATGAAACGTGGCTGGGTCTTTCAGCATGACAATGATCCCAAACACACCGCCCGGGCAATGAAGGAGTGGCTTCGTAAGAAGCATTTCAAGGTCCTGGAGTGGCCTAGCCAGTCTCCAGATCTCAATCCCATAGAAAATATTTGGAGGGAGTTGAAAGTCCGTGTTGTCCAGCGACAGCCCCAAAACATCACTGCTCTAGAGGAGATCTGCATGGAGGAATGGGCCAAAATACCAGCAACAGTGTGTGAAAACCTTGTGAAGACTTACAGAAAACGTTTGACCCGTGTCATTGCCAACAAAGGGTATATAACAAAGTATTGAGAAACTTTTGTTATTGACCAAATACTTATTTTCCACCATAATTTGCAAATAAATTCATTAAAAATCCTACAATGTGATTTTCTGGATTTTTTTTCCTCATTTTGTCTGTCATAGTTGACGTGTACCTATGATGAAAATTACAGGCCTCTCTCATCTTTTTAAGTGGGAGAACTTGCACAATTGGTGGCTGACTAAATACTTTTTTTCCCCACTGTAGCCTCCGTACTGTTATTTTATTTTACTGCTGCTCTTTAATTATTTGTTATTTAAATTTTTTACTTATGTATTTTTTACTTAACACTGTTTTTCCTAAAGCTGCATTGTTGGTTAAGGGCTTGTAAGTAAGCATTTCACTGTAAGGTTGTATTCGGCGCATGTGGCAAATAAAATTTGATTTGATTTGAACTGCAGGCTCTCCCACAGTGACAGATGCTGCTGAATGACGACATGCTCGTACACTCTCCTGGCCTGGATAGATGGAGCCTCAGGAAGCTTCTCACTTGAGACACACAGATACAGTGAGGGAAAAAAGTATTTGATCCCCTGCTGATTTTGTACGTTTGCCCACTGACAAAGAAATGAACAGTCTATAATTTTAATGGTAGGTTTATTTGATCAGTGAGAGACAGAATAACAACAAAAAAATCCAGAAAAACGCATGTCAAAAATTTTATAAATTGATTTGCATTTTAATGAGGGAAATAAGTATTTGACCCCTCTGCATAACATGACTTAGTACTTGGTGGCAAAACCCTTGTTTGCAGTCACAGAGGTCAGACGTTTCTTGTAGTTGGCCACCAGGTTTGCACACATCTTAGGAGGGATTTTGTCCCACTCCTCTTTGCAGATCTTCTCCAAGTCATTAAGGTTTCGAGACTGACGTTTGGCAACTCAAACCTTCAGCTCCCTCCACAGATTTTCTATGGGATTAAGGTCTGGAGACTGGCTAGGCCAGTGGAGGCTCCTCAGAGGAAGGGGAGGACCATCCTCCTCAGTGATTTTTCAGAAAAAAAATATATTTTTTAACATTTAAGTTATCCCTTTTAGATAAAACTATTCTAAATATAATCAGAGGTCACCAAGTAATTGATTAAGATATACTATTTTGCAATGAAGGTCTACAGTAGCCTCAACAGCACTCTACAGGGTAGCACCATGGTGTAGCCGAAGGACAGCTAGCTTCTGTCCTCCTCTGGGTACATTAACTTCAATACAAAACCTAGGAGGCTTATGGTTCTCACCCCCTTCCATAGACTTACACAGTAATAACAGTTCTGAAAAAATTAATTTCTTCCAAAATGAAGGAGAAGCAAGAAAGAGATGTATAAAAATGTTTTAACGTTCAGTTTCACTTACTTAGCTAGCAAATGCAGCTAGCTAGTTTAGCCTACTCAAACACCCTGCTCAAACAGAGGGATGCTATGTTAGCTAGCTGGCTATGACTATCCAACACAACACTGGAACTCTTCCAAGTCAAGGTAAGCTTTTGGTTTTACTAATGTATTGCCACCGGGGCTGGTGTAAGAGCTAAACTGCTTACTGACTGTACCCTGTAACGTTACTGCATGAATGTAGCAGGTTTACTAACGTGTTAGTTCTATTAGCTATGTTGACTATGACTTTACTTTAGCTAATATGGTGACAACGATGTAGGCTGTGTGTGGCAGTTATGATATGGTTTGGCTTGGAAAGGTTTTTTCACCTGGTGAAAAAACCTTTCACCAGGTGAAAAGTGAACTGTGTTTACGCGTGATCAGGGGTGTATTCATTCTGTCTTTTCTGTTGAAAAACGTTTCTTAAACGGAACAAAACGAGGATAAACATACCTGAATTTGTCCAATATATACTCTCGTTTGCAACTGTTGAACTAATGATTACACTCTATTTTGCAACTGTTGGACTAATGATTACAGCCTATATCAGCTAGATGCAGGCAAGAGTGTGCAAGGCGGTAATGAATGTGTCACTGTCGTTGTAAACTTTAATTCACAGGCTAGGTTGTAGCAACCTCATGATGGGTATAGGGGAAATTAGAGTATCATGTAGTAGCCTAAACCTATCGCTGTTACATTGAACTGGGTGAATGGAATATGAATGACAGTCATCCAACATGCTGTAATAGAAATAAGACCATGCTCATAAAATAAAAATCATCCTCCCTCATCTTAAATGGCACTGACCGCACCTGATGCCAAGTTAGACATTTTCTCAAATTACATATGGTGCCTGTTATTTTCCAAAACGCAAATAGTATTGTATGTGAATGTTTGAAAGAGAAAGCTTACTGTGAAACTGGCTGAATACATTCCTCAAGAGCTGATACTTAGTGGTGTAATCTCCAGCCTCGGATAACGGAGCATCATAATATGAAGAAGAAAAAAAAGATTCAGATGACAATGTTTTTCTTTGCAAGGAAATGTACATTTGGGAAATGTCAGTTCATAGGATACATAAAACCTACCATAGCTTCCGACCTGAGGTTTGTAGGTGCCAAGGTTCGCCACAGCTCCATTCATGAAGCCAAAGCTGGTTCCACCATGGAACATAGAGGTTGATGGATACGCCTCGCTTCAGTATCTGTGACACCACACCCAACATGTCTAACATAGGAGGAGACGGACAGAATCAATGCTAGACGGGGCCACTCATAGTCCTTAGAATGCTGGATGGATGGCTCAGTTGGTAGAGCATGGCACTTCCAATGTCAGGGTTGTGGGTTCGATTCCCACAGGGGATCAATCAAAATGTATGCACTCACTACTGTAATTTGCTAAATAACTAAAATGTAAATGATGGATGGACTTTAAAGGATTTATATAACTAGGGGTTATATGACATGATCTTAATCTAGTTTGTAATGTATTGATTTAGAGGGAAACATACCCTCTGCTGGAAACCCATGGTGATATTCACTCTAGACATCGAAAACAGGTTTTTAGAAATGTATATATATATTTTAAAAAAAACGGAAATACCTTATTTACATAAGTATTCAGACCCTTTGCTATGTTTCCATTGATCATCCTTGAGATGTTTCTACAACTTGATTGGAGTCCACCTGTGGAAAATTCAATTGATTGATTGAATTGATTTGGAAAGGCACACACCTGTCTATATAAGGTGCCACAGTTGACAGTGCATGTCGGAGCAAAAAGCAAGCCATGAGGTTGAAGTAATTGTCGTAGAACTCCGAGACAGGATTGTGTAGAGGCACAGATCTGGGGACGGGTACCAACACATTTCTGCAGCATTGAAGGTCCCCAGGACTTCCCCAGTGTAGTCCCGTGTAGCTCAGTTGGTACAGCATGGTGCTTGCAACGCCAGGGTTGTGGGTTCGATTCCATCGGGGGGCCTGTATGAAAATGTATGCACTCACTAACTGTAAATCGCTCTGGATAAGAGCGTCTGCTAAATGACTAAAATGTAGGTACATAGACCTTAAAGAAAATCCCTATGAGACATCGTCACCCCAAGTGACGCGGGCTCATGGACTATAGTTGAGCAATATAAATATATTGGAACTATAATTGACTCAAAACTCTCCTTGAGTGCAAACACACAACAGATATACAAAAAGGGACAACAACGACTGTATTTCATGAGGCGATTAAATAAATATCAGGTCAATAAAATAATAACAACCGTGTTCTCACTTTCTGTGTCCAATCCTGGTACAATCAGCTATCCATCGCAAATAAAAACCAATTACATAAAATAGTAAAGCTGTCAAGCAAAATCAGCGGAGTTAATCTAAAAAACATGGCAGCGCTATTCTTGGAGAGAGTAGTGAGGGCAGGAGCGAGAATTGCCACCGACCTGACACACCCACTCAACCAGGAGAACAAGCTCCTACCATCAGGCCGCCGATACTGAGTCCATCTTTACAAAACCGCCAGAGCCCAGAAACCATTCATTCCCACCAGCATAAATCGATCCCCACCCCTCCTAAAATGTACCAACTGAATTACGATCTGTATCCACATATGTTGTCTGTTGTAGTTATTGCTTGTGATTTATTTATGTATTTATGCACCTATTGGTGATGCTGTGCTGTTGTTTGTTGAGATGCAAGACACATTTCCCGAAAGGGACACACAATAAATAATTGTATTATTTATTATAGACCGTATAATATAGTACAGTATAAAGGTTAAAGCTGACAAACGACGTCAGAAATAATAGCGTCATCTGGCGGAACTGGGCAAGACCGTGATGGCTACAGTCCAGCGTGTGTTCTGCGTGTGTGTGAGAGAGAGTTAGAAAATTACAAGGGTTTTTCCCAATACAATCTAGTGTAAACAGTAGGCTAGAGCGCCATGTGGTAATTACTTTCCTCGCAAGTTCGGCTGACCTGTCTTTTTACTGATTTTGGTTGTAAGGACAAAACGTATTAGTGTTGAAGTTTGATATTTTAATTAAATATGGTCTATAGCGCTCACCTGTAATATCCCCTTGAGGGAATCGCCTGTACTACAGTATTAACAGCCTACTCAGAAGCCTGTTCTTCCTGTAATGTTCTGCCTGCCGCAAGGTCTTTGAGGTCGTGGCCTGTCAAGCGGCTGTTGTATCGTGATTCGTAACATTTAAAAAATACATCCATGGTCGCCAGGCTGTCTCTCACACGACGGTATGCCATTCTCGGTTTTATTATCGTCGGATATATTCTCTTTCAATTCATACGGTAAGACTTTATGGGCGGGTCTCGAGAGTGTGTGCAAAGTTTTGTCCTGTTTGTTGTTGTTTTTCCTCATGTTGTCATGGACCTGCTAATGCATCAATATTCAACCATCCCAAAACGGACCCTTTTCAAACTGGTTATTTAAGTACAATGTATTATAGGCAATGCTATTAAAGACAATTCATAATGAGAAAATGTGATCAGATTGTTAAATATTATTACACAGAAGATGTAGGCCTATACCAAATGTGAGAAAAATAATATGCAATCAATAGTCTAATTAATACAAAGCCATTCTATATCCTCCATTTAACCTATCGTGAACTTTCACCTGACCCACCTGCCCTGGACCTTTACCTTGTGTAGACACTTAGCTTTTATGTTGCTGATTCTTATGGCACAGTGCAGGACTCATTCCACAGCATCGACAGTGTGAGCAATTTACTATGTAAGTCTCCCTCATATTCAAAAATAGATTAGCATTCTGGTCAGACAAGAGGAATAGCATGCTTGTAGCGTATTTCATTAGTCTTCTCTGCGCTGAAAGATTTGTTGATTTATCTAAAACTGTTGGGTCTGTCTTTTATGCTTGTGACAAGTGTTATAAATACTTAGCTACTCACCTTAGATGCCATTGTCAAGTTCCTATGATTCCTATCTAATTTACATTTCTGGATTGACCAGCAGTTTGTCTTTCTCCTCCAGCCAACACCCAGAGGTGGAGAGAATGAGCCAGAAAGAGGGACTGAGGGCCAACTCCTCTCAGTTCACTCTGGAGGGAGAGCCCTTTCGCATCCTGGGGGGCTCTATCCACTACTTCCGCGTCCCCAGAGCCTACTGGGAGGACCGGCTGCTGAAGATGAGGGCCTGTGGGGTCAACACTCTCACCACGTAGGGACACACAGAACACCTCATGTCCTGTTATACCACCACTCACTGCTGCTCTACTATGGAGAGATACTGAGAATGACTGCTTTCTCTTTCAGATATGTGCCATGGAACCTGCATGAGCCAGAGAGAGGGGTTTTCATCTTCCAGGACCAATTGGATTTAAAGTAAGGAAGACTTCCACTTTTTAAAATATGATTTTGTGATGAAAATGTTTGATAGAGCTGTTGAGCTTTGTCTCTCTGCTTTTCTCTGTGTCTCTCAGGGCGTACATCAGCCTAGCAGCAGAGTTGGGCCTCTGGGTGATTCTGCGGCCAGGACCCTACATCTGTGCTGATTGGGACTTAGGAGGGTTGCCCAGGTTAGATGTTCCCAGGTTTTAACATTTAAGCCCAGGTTGGTTTCAGCTCCCTGTATGTATAGGTCCCCCTACACGACGTCTTATCCATTTTTCCTCATTCATTATTGTGATGCTCATTTCCACTGTGGTGCTATTTCCGTCAGGTCTCTGGGCAGACAGTCCCACATTCCTTATTAGTAATGTGGGTAAATAGAATCATAGATCTAAGGGGAAAAACAGATATTGCTCACACACACAGAGAATGAAAACAGTTATTTGCTGAGCTTTTCCCCCTCAATGAGAGTCATTTGACTGACTCTGATCATCATCTAAGTGGATTGAGGAAGGGTAATTGGTCCAAAAATATCCCAGTATGTACCACTAGGTTAACCAGATCATAGATATTTGGAAATCCATTAAACTCACGCTGTGTTATGAATCACATTAACAATCAACGCAGTCATTGTGCATTAATGCCATCAGTGCAACCAGTATTGAAATGTAACTACATACATTGTTGATAACATTAGAGAGTTGTCATGTATTGCTTTCTTCCTAGTTGGTTGTTGCGTGATCCAGACATGAAGTTGAGAACAACCTACCCAGGTTTCACAGAAGCAGTTGACTCCTTCTTTGATCAACTCATTCCAAGAGTTGCACCATATCAGGTTATTATTTTCCTCACTTTCTCACTACTCTTCTATGAAGTACACTTGGGTTTCCAGTTTTCCTGTTCAATTGTGTGTGACAACGATATCACTGCATAGATATGGTTGTTGATAAGAGCTATCAAAATACTAAAATATTCTTAAAATTTGAAGCTTGGTGTTTTATCAATCCAAAAGGCTTTGAACATATATGCTTGTGACTTAAATCAATTGAAAGTTCTGCTCTTATTTGATGTATTATTTAAAACTCAGTACTCCAAGGGGGGCCCAATTATAGCAGTTCAAGTGGAGAACAAGTATGGCTCTTATGCAAAAGACGTGGAATACATGCCATACATAAAGCAGGTAAGACAGTGCAGTGCATCTATTTTATTACACACACGCGTACACGCAAACACACGCCGTGCGTCACTTTATCTTGACTTCACTACAACTATATGCATTTTCAATTGTAGGATATCTACTTGGAAATATGAGCATGATTGAGATGAGATCCTTGTTCTAGGCATTATTATCTAGGGGGATCGAGGAGCTGCTCCTGACCTCAGACAACCAGGATGGACTGAAGCACGGGGGAGTGAATGGAGGTATTGCACTGACTGGACAAACAGACAGACAGCTGCACTATAGTAGAGCCTCTGGCCCATCTGACTCTGCAGCCTCTGCCTGAACTGTAGTTGGTATTCTCCCATAACACAAGAGCTCTGGCTGTGCCAAGGACAGGTGTGTGTGTCAGGCAGCTGCTGTTAGGCTTCATTAGAACTGCTCCTTGACTAATTCCCTCTCCACTTGAAGCCTAAACACAAAGGAGACAGATGAGCCTGTGCTGTTTAGATAGATACAGATTAAGCTAGGGAGAAAACAAGACAAAAATATGATCTGTTAAAATGCAAAGCAGTTTCATGAGCATGAAGTCACTGTAGCATCCCACTGGGCACACACTGGTTGAACCAACGTTGAATAGACATTGAATTGACGTCTGTGCCCAGTGGGATACTGTCATGCTGTATTTTATTTGTGTTTGTTATGGATTTACTGTATGTACTCTTGTAATGTACTGTTTAGTTTTTGTTTTCCGTTTACGTCAATAGTTCTAGAAACCATAAATTTTCAGAAACAGAGCCCAGAGGGATTTAAGTATCTGGATGCAATTCAAGTGAGTGATGATTGTCTACTAATATTTATCATTAGATTTATCCAGCTCCAGCATTATAATTGATCAGTTATTCAGTTTCATCTGACACCTGTAGATAAAACAGAGGATATTAGCTATGTAGTCTTAATCTGTGAAACAAATAGCTTTGAACCACAGTCTTGGGATGCCTATAGTCTTGGCCCAGTTTTTCAGAAGTTATCTGATCGGATTTCGGCAATCGGATAGGATTAAATGCGTAGCTATGCATTTAAATCCTATTCGATTGCCGATATCCGATCATACAGTGCATTTGGAAAGTACTCAGACCCTTTCACTTTTCCTACATTTTGTTACGTTACAGCCTTATTCTAAAATGGATTAAATAGTTTTTTCCCTCATCAATCTACACACAATACCCCATAATGGCAAAGCAAAAACCGTTTTTTAGAAATTTTAGCAAATGTATTAAAAATCAAAAAACGGAAATATCAAATTTACATAAGTATTCAGACCCTTTGCTCAGTACTTTGTTGAAGCACCTTTGGCAGCGATTACAGCCTTGAGTCTTCTTGGGTATGATGCTACAAGCTTGGCACACCTGTATTTGGGAAGTCTCTCCCATTATTTTCTGCAGATCCTCTCAAGCTCTGTCAGGTTGGATGGGGAGCGTCGCTGCACAGCTATTTTCAGGTCTCTCCAGAGATGTTAGATCGGGTTCAAGTCCGGGCTCTGGCTGGGCCACTCAAGGACATTCAGAGACTTGTCCCAAAGCCACTCCTGCATTGTCTTGGCTGTGTGCTTAGGGTTGTTGTCCTGTTGGAAGGTGAACCTTCACCCCAGTCTGAGGTCCTGAGTGCTCTGGAGCAGGTTTTCATCAAGGATCTCTGTACTTTGCCCCGTTCATCTTTCCCTCGATCCTGACTAGTCTCCCAGTCCCTGCCGCTGAAAAATGACGCTTGGCATTCAGGCCAAAGAGTTCAATCTTGGTTTAATCAGTTTAATCGGTTTAATCTTGTTTCTCATGGTCTGAGAGTCCTTTAGGTGCCTTTTGGCAAACTCCAAGCGGCCTGTCATGTGCCTTTTACTGAGGAGTGGCTTCCGCCTGGTCACTCTACCATAAAGGCCTGATTGGTAGAGTGCTGCAGAGATGGTTGTCCTTCTGGAAGGTTCTCCCATCTCCACAGAGGAACTCTGGAGCTCTGTCAGAGTGACCATCGGGTTCTTAGTCACCTCCCTGACCAAAGCCCTTCTTCCCCGATTACTCAGTTTAGCCGGGCGGCCAGCTCTTGGAAGAGTCTTGGTGGTTCCAAACTTCTTCCATTTAAGAATGATGGAGGCCACTGTGTTCTTGGGGACTTTCAATGCTGCAGAAATCTTTTGGTACCCTTCCCCAGATCTGTGCCTTGACACAATCCTGTCTCTGAGTTCTATGGACAATTCCTTCGACCTCATGGCTTGGTTTTTGCTCTGACATGCACTGTCAACTGTGGGACCTTATATATACAGGTGTGTGCCTTTCCAAATTATGTCCAATCAATTGAATTTACCACAGGTGGGCTCCAATCAAATTGTAGAAACATCTCAAGGATGATCAATGGAAACAGGGTGCACCTGAGCTCGATTTCGAGTCTTATAGCAAAGGGTCTGAATATAAATAAGGTATTTCTGTTTTTTATTTTTAATGAATGTGCAAAAAAATATAATTTCATCAATTTTAGAATAAGACTGTAACGTAACAAACTGTAGAAAAAGTGAAGAGGTCTGAATACTTTCCTAATGCACTTTAACTTAAAAAAAAAAAGTGGGCCCTGATGTTCAAGGAGTAAATACAAGGAGGGAATACTGTGTCTACAAGGAGTAACATATATTTAGTTTATTTGCACCTCTCTGTTGAACATTCCCTTTCCTAATTCCTCTAGCCGCAGAAGCCCAAAATGGTGATGGAGTATTGGTCTGGGTGGTTTGACCTCTGGGGTGACCTTCACCATGTTTTTGCTGCTGGGGGTAAGTCATATTTCCTCAAGCAGCAGGATCTCTTTGCCACACTGCATGAGTCCCACTCAATAGATTGGTCACATGGTGTTTAGCATATGGTCAGTTCTCCTTTGTGGTATGTTTCTGTCAGAGATGAATATGCTTTCCATGTGTGCTTGTTTCCAAGTCAAGCATCATAAACCAGATTTGGTCTTTATTCCCCCTAAAATTGTATTTTGATCCATGTAGTCAATTTCAACTGAACCAAGCTGTCTTTTGTATACTGTTTTATACTGTGTTATGCTTTTATACTGGCCTTCAGTGTCTAGAACCTTCAAAATAAATGGAGTCCCTATGGTCACCCTATATGTGTATGTACAGTCAATAGAAGAGCATTCCATGCAGTGCGTACATGTGTGCAGCTCGTTAGATGAGTGACTCATTCCCTCTCAGCAGGGAACAGTACAGTATGTGAAAGGGTTACTGACTAACCATGTAATACACACACACACACACACACACACACCATCCGCATAACACTGTAGCCACTGCTAGCTTTGGGATATTTTGGTCATGATGGTGAATCTTAAATAAAAACTCAATTTTCATCATCCTCTCATGAGACAATGCATCACTGCAGTAAATACTTGTCAGCTGTCATACAGCTTGGCACACAGTTATGGAGGTGTATTCATGTCATGTAGATTCTCCAGACTGTCCTTCTTATGTTGAACAACAGCCACTGATAACTCGTGTCCCCAGGCCTGGTTTTTTCTTCCTGTCATTGCCAGCAGCATCCACGTCTATCTCACACACACAGGATGCTAATCAAGTCATGCTCTGTCACTCCATGCTTGTTATTCATTATCCCGCTGCCCTTGATTTAAATCGGTAAAGTCAGCTCAATTTGAATGTCTAATTAAACATGTGACTATGTTCTATATCAGGGGTTCCCAAACTTTCCAGCATTGGGGAACACCCCCCCCCCCCCCCCCCCCCAACAATCAACAACATATTTGGTCAAAAAAAAACTAAAAGAAAAAAATGACAGTTCTGACAAGTTAAAATTAGCTCGCTAAGTTATGCAATGACTAACATGACAAGAGGAACTGATGATGCACTACCCAATATGATCATAGGTTTTGTTTTACTGTTGGGCTACCTGCCACAGCTCTTGTATATAGAGGTAGAGTTTATAGCAATGGATATTCTACAGCTATTACGGGCACCAGGTCTTGTAATTCTACTCTGTCTCTATGCCCACCAGTAGTGAGTTCTCATTTGTCACCCTCTCTTTGGCAGACATGGTTGCTATTGTGACGGAAATCCTGAAACAGGACGCATCAATCAATCTCTACATGTTCCACGGAGGAACTAATTTTGGCTTCATGAACGGGGCCTTTGCAATTGCCACGCTCATGCCTAAGCCAATGGTAACAAGTTATGGTAAGTTCTATTTGGATCTTTATATTACTTGCTGTCCGCTTGTTTTAGAATCAATGTGTTCTCATAGTTTACCTTGTTATTTCTCTTTATTGAAACATACCTCTGATAAGGATGTTACATCAGCCAGGTATACAGGAATTGTTAAAGTAATGCACAGTCACTGTACTGTTAGTAAAGGCCAGTAGATGGTGCTGTCACTCCTCCACAGTGCTTGACCTCAGGCTGCATTTTAGCACTCATTGCATAATTCATTCATCAGCTAATAAAATGCATGGGAAATGTAAATGAAAGACGGCATGATGGGTTTTATATCCTCTTTGGGACTGTTGACATTGTAATGACCTCGCTCCTCAGAGGAGAATGACATTGATGTCAAACACAGTAACAATGGCACATTGGCACATGCTCTTTGACCTTCAAGTTTAACAGTAGTCTGTCTTTACATTTGATTTCCTCCACTGCCTCTTGCCTCCATCCAAACTCCTGCAGCCGTATCTGTCAAGATAACCACAAAATATGTCTCCTGCTGGCTTGAGATGTTTGATAGGAGCAGAGTGAAACTCATCGGACACGGGAGGAGTCATCCCCGCCTCTCGCTCCTCGTGCCTCTTGCTGTTCTGATAGTGGCATTATCTTTTCAGATTACGATGCTCCGTTATCTGAGGCAGGGGATTACACCACCAAGTACACTCTTCTGAAGAATGTATTGAGCCGCTACCACAGTGAGTGTCGCCGTGAGGGGCTCTTCTTTGTATCTTTCTCCAAAGTCACTTAGTAAGGCCCTACGAGGAACATTGAGTCTGTCTTGCCCAATCAGAGATGAGTTTGTGAGATTGACGCTGGGTATGGTGGACTACAGGAGCGTTTCTCAAACTCGATTCTGGTTTAGGGACACGCCCCACCTCCCACTCCTCAAACATACAGTCAGAGCAATCTTACATTTATCCAGCCTCCCAGTAAACTAAGATCTTCAGGGTTATCTTAACATGTTTCATCCTTACGTTGTGCAGTATTTTGAACAATGAGCATTGGCGTGGATGAGAGCGAGCACTAAAGCGTCTGAGAAAACCTATGTTCTATTCAGCACCACATATACATGACCTAATTCTGTATTTATATCCTACTTGATATCTGCTATTGTTTGGCTCTCAGCTCAAATGAGTTTCATGAGTCATGCATACCTTGTGTAAGTAAGTAGCCTTGCACAAGCCTTGGCTTTTGCAGGCCGGAATGGCTTATAGGAGCAGGAGCCTATCTCCTGTTTCTATAGCATGAGGCACCTTAATGTACAAGTACACCCCCTGGACAGAACGCTAGTCTATCACAAGGCTTTAGGCTCTCAGCTCATATGAGTTTCGTGAGTAATGCGTACCCTGTGGTCACAGACTAAAACATTATCTCTAATAATTGTCCATGAATAGAACGAAAATACTGTCTAACACTTGGTTTAATAACAACATGAAATAAATAGTATTGTTCTTCCAAATGGACAATAGATGCTGTCGGAGCAGTGGTTAAAAGCCAAGGTAATACTATTTGATTATGCATGTGGCAGGGAGTCCAACTTGCACAACATTCTTTAAATTGAGTTCAATCTTAACCCAATTCTATCAAAATTCCAATCCACTGTAGAATCCAATAACATGAAAGTTTCAAGTTTATATAACTGCAGCTGAAGATAACTTTGTCAGGCAGCTCACACAATATCAAACAACAGCAAAAGTGTGAAATGGCAATTTGCTCCATAAAAATACTTGGCTTGTAAACTCAGAATGCCATTTCAGGGCGAGGTGATTTCTGCCACCCATTATCCCCTTTTAGTGGCCCAAATGTTGAACTTAGTGTTATTCCACCAATAACCCCCAGTGGCTGCAGGTTTCTCTAAGTGCTTCAACACCTTAAAGAGTGCTGGAGGACATCTCTTAGAGAGCAGCAACTGTCAGCTCCAACAGTTGTAAAAGGTACTACCAGCTGGATACTGGTGTCAAGCTCAGATGTTTTCCCAGTAATTATCTTAAAAGCCTGGGTTATTTCCTGAATCACAGATGTTTTCCACTTCTGTATTGATCTGGAGTTGTCATTCATCACATACCACTGTATGCAGAGGTCAAAATGATCATATGAAATGATTATGTTGTGACAAAAATAAATTTATTTAATCTTGTAACTGATCATTTATATTATTATCTAGCAATGGCACTGTCTGAATAAAGAGTTCATTTTCAATATATAACTCCAGCTAACAGTTAGGGCTCTATTTTAACAAACCTAACGCAATATAATGCTGTATATAGGTTTAGGGGTTGGTCCGAAATAATTTTGCTATTTTCACTATTACAGTTATTGCCGCACTTGCTGGCGTTGACTGGGTTTTGATGAATAAACATGTTGTGGGGTTGAGGCTTTGGCCCCTCAATGGCCAATCAGAACGTGCTCCATGGCGAAATATGTGGTTGCTTCAAGTTGTGTATTGCCTTGGAATCAACTCCAATTCCAATGTTCGTCCGTTATAGTTTGTTAAATGGTTTACAGAAACGAAATAGCAAAATGTAGAACTATCTTTGCTAAATACGTTAACTTGAACCCATTTGCAGTCTACATTGTTCTAAGTAATTGCGTGGCTTCAATATCATTCACACTGATATAGGGGCTAAGCCTACTGTAAATTGCATTATGGCTGAGCATGGACTTGCCAAACATTGTCAATAAGCAAGATTCAATTAATTATTGACAAGGCCTAAAAAGAGAATGAATAATTCTAATCAAATTCTAAACAAAACGAAACAACAACTTGTTTCAAATAGGCTATGTCACACTTACAGGCTCCATCATTTCTCCCCGTGGGCATATAATATTAAAACAACGCAGACTATGGAGGGTTTTACGCACATCCAAACTTTTCACAGTAGCTGGTCAAAGATCCAATATAAAGAGAGAATGTCCACTCACCGTTATACTGCTCCCAAATATATATATATGTTTTATTTACATTTTAGTCATTTAGCAGACGCTATTATCCAGAGCGACTTACAGTTAGTGAGTGCATTTTTTTTTTTTCATACTGGTCCCCCGTGGGAAACAAACCCACAACCCTGGCGTTGCAAACGCCAAGCTCTACCAACTGAGCTACACAGGACTATTTTTATGAACATCATCGGAACCATTTTACAGATCACATCACATTCACACATCTCCAGAAGTTACATTGCATGCACAGACATTGTAACAATAAAACCAGCAAGGTGAATCATTCTAATAAGATTTGTTGTAATAAAATGCAATGAAAAACAAGCACGTTTTTTTTTAACAACAATAAATACATGTTAAATGTAATGATGTCATAAAAAGACACTGCTGCGGCATTGCTGTTGAATCAGCCTTCGTTATAGTAGGCCTAATGAAGGGCTTAGGTTTTGAACATATGAAACGGAAAACAAGCACTTGTTACAGATAACTTCTAAATACGATGTTCACCGGTATTCACCTGAGGTTCTCATCTCTCGTTTCATGACCTGCATGGGCCTGCCAACAATACATAGATAAAAAGGGAATGTCAGCACACTGTTTTACTCCTCTCAAGCGTTATATTTTAATAATGGTTTAGTGATTAAGATTTATTTCCAAGTGGTCTCAGGAGCCAAACCTTTTACCGACAGTCTTGACTACTTCGCGATTGCATTTGACAGGGGAAAAAAGGCCTTAATTGAGAGCGTTTGACACTAGCGCCGCTTTAACGGCAGCTGAAAATAGAGCCCTTAGAGTGCATTGATATTCCTACAAACCCTCCGCTCATGTTGGTAAGCTCAAATGTCCCATTTTTGTCTCAGTTCCCCAAGAGACACTCACTCCCCCGCATGTTCTATATCTGACTATGTCTGTGTGTCTCAGGTGAGAAGCTTCCTGAGGTTCCCTCCCTCCAGGCCAGGAGAGTGTATGAGCCTGTCGTCATTCAGCAGCATCTGTCACTGTGGGAGAGCCTGCAGTTTACTGAGAAGGTGAGCAGCTAGGGCCCAAGTAGCATGCTGTCTGCTGTGACCTGGCCTGGACTCCTTGGTTGTATACAGTTGCACTAGACTTGGTTGTATACAATATCACTAGAATTGGTTGTGTACCGTATCACTAGAATTGGTTTTATACGTACCACTAGAATTGGATGTATGCTGTATCACTAGACTAGACCTCCTTACATGCTCTCTTCATTGTTTATTTTCTGGGCAAACGTAGCAGTGCGTCTCGTACTTGCGTAGACCATTAATTATTCACTAGCCGTTGCTGTAATTTGCTCCCTTCTGAGACGACAATTACTTTCCCACCATCTAGATCCAGACACTTGTAGAAAGAATGTATTTCATAATTATGGTAATTGGCTGTCTAAAAATGTATCTTGAACTTTATATTATACATACAGTATTCATACCCCTTGACTTATTCCACATTTTGTTGTGTTAGCCTGAATTCAAAATGGATTAAATATATTTTATTTCCTCACCTATCTACACACAATGGGAGATTTTAAAAAATGAAATTTTAGCACATTTATTGAACATTATATACAGAAATATATTTTCATAAGTATTCACACCCCTCAGTCAATACTTTGTAGAAGCACCTTTGGTGGCGATTACAGCTTTGAGTTGTCTTACGTATGTCTGTATCAGCTTTGCACATCTGGATTTGGGGATATTCTCCCATTCTTCTCTGCAGATTTTCTCAAGCTCTGTTAAATTAGATGGGGAGTGCGGTGAGTAGCAATCTTCAAGTCTTTCCACAGATTTTCAATGGGATTCAAGTCTGGGCTTTGGCTGGGCCACTCAAGGACGTTCACATTCTTGTTCTGAAGCCAATTCCAGCATTGCTTTGGCTGTATGCTTGGGGTCATTGTCCTGTTGGAATGTAAATCTTCGCCCCCCAGTCTAAGGTTGTTTACACTCTGAAGCAGGTTCTCATCAAGGATGTGCCTGTGTTTGGCTTCATTCATTGTTCCCTCGATCCTTACCAGTCTCCCAGTCCCCATAGAATGATGCTGCCACCACCAGTAATTCACGGTAGGGATGGTGTTAGACAGGTGATGAGCTGTGCCTGGTTTTCTCCAGACGTAGCGTTTGCATTCAGGCCAAAGAGTAAAAGTTTTGTCTCATCAGACCACAGAATATTTTGCCTTATGCTCTGAGTCTTTCACGTGCCTTTTTGCAAACTTCAGGTGTGTCGTCATGTGCCTTTTTCTCAGGAGTAGCTTCCGTCTTGCCACTCTACCATAAAGCCAAGATTGGTGAAGTGCTGTAAAGACTGTTGTCCTTCTGGCAGGTTCTCCCATTTCAGCCAAGGAACTCTGTAGTTCTGTCAGAGTGCTCATTGGGTTCTTGGTCAACTCCCTGACCAAGGTCCTTCTTGCCTGGTTGCTCAGTTTGGTTGTTGGGTAGTTCTGTATTTTTTCAATTTCCCAATGATGGAGAAACAACTGAATTGGCTTCAGGTGGACTCAAATTGTAGTGACATCTCAAGGATGATCATAGGAAATTGGATGCACCTGAGCTCAATTTGGAGTGTCATAGCAAAGGGGTGTGAATATTTATGTAAATTAGATATTTCTGTATTTCATTTTCAATACATTCGCAAACATTTCTAAAAACATGTTTTCACTTTGTCATTAAGGGGTATTGTGTGTAGATGGGTGAGAAAAAATCTATTTAATCAATTTTGAATTCAGGTTGTAAGACAACAAAATGTGGAATAAGTCAAGGGTATGAATACTTCCTGAAGTCACTGTGTCATATAATATATAATCATGTCAGATTAGATAGGATGTTGTTGTTGTTTTGTCCTACGGTAGCCCTTGAAGTCAGAGGGGCCTGTCAACATGGAGAACCTTCCTGTCAACAATAACAATGGTCAGTCCTATGGCTACACTCTATATGAGACCACCATCAGCAGCGGAGGCCTTCTGAACTCCAAGAAAAATGTTAGAGACAGAGCCCTGGTGAGTACAGACAGACACAGCTACATGACATTATATCATCATTATTTCATGATATTAGCATGATATATGTCAGTAGATTATTTGTACTAATAAACTTATTTTGTCTTCTAGGTCTTTGTGGACAAACTCTTTGTTGGAGTTCTGGACTATAAGACGCTGGAGTTTGCACTGCCTGATGGAAAGGTATAGTGATAGTGTGTGTTTCGGGCGGCAGGTAGCCTAGCGGTTAGAGTGTTGTGCCAGTAACCGAAAGGTCGCTGGTTTGAATACCTGAGCCGACAAGGTGAAAAATCTCTCGATGTGCCCTTGAGTAAGGCACTTAACCCTAATTTGCTCAAGGGACGCCATACTACTATGGCTGACTCTGTAAAACAACACATTTCACTGTAGCTATCCGGTGTATGTGACAATGTGACAATTTAAATTGTATTCAGGCTATAGGTGTGCTGCTGAGCTGCTTTCGAAACTGGCTAGTTAATATTCAACACCATGTTAGAGGTGAAAGCCTCTGGTGATGCTGATAAATGCGTTTGTCACTAAGGTGCCAGGATTACGCCAACAGAAAGTTTTCAGACAAATGTTGTTCTAACAAGGAGGAATCACAATCACTAACTTTACACCTGCCTGTTATTGGAAAACAAATCCATGCTGCTTTTCTATCACACAGCAGCAGATTGGACTTGATCAATTATTATCTGCAGTCCAACTGAAAGCCACGTTTCCTCTATTGTCTTTATTTAGTCTACTTTGCATTGTGGACTGTAGATAACACCTCCAATTGTTTCCACATCTTTTATGTACTTTCCATTGAAGGGGGAGAGAACATTGAGTTTACTCGTGGAGAACTCTGGGAGACTGAACTCTGGTAAACTCCTAGATGAACAGCGTAAAGGTAATTCGATAGTTTCACTTACTGTATCTGGGTCAGTATTAGCCTTGTGGTTGTATTACTAGACACATCTATTAGTAAATAATTTCAGTATAGGTGCTCAAAAACAGCTAATTAACCACTGAATTTAGAAAATCAAAGACTGCCTTATTTCAGCCTTGGCTTATTTTGCAGGTCTTGTCGGAGACATTGAGTTGAACAATACCCCGCTACGAAACTTTATCATTCATAGTCTGGATATGAAGCCTGGCTTTGTAAATAGGTTTGTACTGATCATGTACATCTTTCAATTTCCGTCCTCATGTTTATTTGTTCTGTTCTGAGTCTCTGTCATTGCTCCTGCCTAGCTCTGATTCTGTTGAGTTGATTATCTTCTTGGTTCTCACTGAGCGTAGAATTACAATGCCAGATTGCAGAAATAACATATTTTTCATGTGGTTTCCCAATACCATGTTAAAACCCCATTATAATCAGCTGGGAAATTAGCGCTGTCTTGAAGATGCTTGCCCACTGATCAGAAGTGGTATAAAACCATTTATATATCCACGACTGAAGCCATGCCATTGTACACTCTCACAAATGATGTTGTTACATGAATAAATATGACGAGGAATCGTATTAGTCAGTAATTTCCTGTGTTATAATAGGTTGATCTCCTCCCATGTTTCAGACTGAGTGCAGCAAGCCAGTGGAACTCTGTCTTCCAGAAGCCTTCCTTCCCAGGGTTCTTCCAGGGAAAGCTGTATGTGGGCGGCCATCCCAGAGACACCTTCATCAGACTGCCTGTGAGTAAAGCAGCCCAACAGGCTCTGTGGTTATGAAAGAGAGCACCACCTGTCCATACTGTTTATTGATGCATAGTGTAGTAGGCCTATCTCTGGTTTATTGATAGCTAGTGTAGTAGGCATCACACATCAGACCAACATAGTGATGAAAGAAGATCCCAGAGAAACTCTAAACTCTGATTTTCAAGTCACTGATTGCAGTGTTTTTTTATCCACAGGGCTGGAGTAAAGGAGTGGTCTTTATCAACGGGCAGAATCTTGGACGCCACTGGTCCATGGGCCCCCAGCAAACCCTCTACCTCCCCGCCCCCTGGCTTAACCAAGGAAACAATCAGGTACTGATGCCGTAACTGTTACTGCCTCTCTGTCTCTAACTGGTTCCCTGGAAAAATCTCTCACACCCTCCACAGGAGTTCACCCAGATGCCTCTGTTAGGAACATCACAGGTCAACAGTTTTGATATACAGCTATAGCGGCTGGGCCACCCCGTGGGTTTGATGATATTGAACTTGGCAGTGCTTTGCGGGAATAGTCCTCAGGCGACTTCTCTTTCCTCTGAACATGTTGTCTCCACGCCTCGGCACCCTACTGCTGTGTTGACCTCTGCTGTGTTTCAGAGCCTTTTGTTTTTGTTGATCTCAGGTCGTTGTGTTTGAGGAGCAGGAAGCTGATGGTAAAATCCAATTCGCCATGGAGCCTGACCTTGGAATGACTGTTGACGTACAGTGAGGATGGCCTGGTGGAACGGAGGTATGGTTAGGAGTTCCATCCTCTCACATTTTCATACTCTGCCTGCCATCAGGGACCTAGCTGGATAGCTACTCAGAATCGATGCACATCACTGCACATGGCATTTATATCCTGTCGGGAAGACCCAGCCTCTGAATGATCCAGACTAATTAAGCATCCTACTATATCTTGCAAACGTAGCTGTGCCTTCATTATATTCGATGGGTCACTGCAATATCTGTATTGCAATGTACAGCAATAACTGTTTTGTACTTGTTGTTTGTGTATTACCTTTACATATGTGTATTGTGAGAATTTTGTCAGAGGATACTAATTTGGAGATTTCAGGTATTTTAATGTATAGGTGTTTGTCCGGATTCAAGGACACATCTACTTGCACTATATTGTATTTTCTTTGATTGGACAGCAAATACATACATTGTTCTTTTGAGATGAACCAGTGACGTGTGATGGTGAAATAAATTGAACGATCAGTGCAGTGGAGACTCTCAAATACAAAGACATTCGTCAAGTACTTCACGTTTCAGTTGTTTATTTGTCTTGATAAATGTAATATGGTATCTCTGAGATGGAGTCATGAGGAGAAATTAACAACCTTTAGAGTTACATGCAGAAGAAGTGATTCACACAAGGATGGAAGATGGCTGTGGATCAAAGTAGGTAAAGGAAGGGGGAGTGGAGGAAATTGTGATTTGCCCTAAGAAAGCATTTAGGGCCTAGTATGAGCCATCACCTTTGTTACATTATGTACTGTATGTACCACTACGAAGCTAAACACGTGATAAGGCTGTTCCATTTCATTAAGCCGTTTCTGACTGTCAGAACAGTATCGCTCGTTAATTGAACTGTGAGAGTGTGAGAAAGACAGGGATGGAAGGAGAAGTTTGAGTTTTGTACCATCAGAGTACTACAGCTAACTTGATTATTTAAGTGATTACAACAGTGTAGGAGCAAGCTCCATTAAATGTCCAAGATATTAAATTGTACTTCCATTATGTATAACTAATCTCTTATTGATGTCTGGGTTCATCTCTGCAGGGCTCTCTAGACAGGCCCAAACATGTTTCCTAAAATCACATTAATGAACACAATCAATTCTAAGAAAGGTAATTGAAAATGAAGGATATTGATAGCGATTGAAGTCAGATCAATACAGAGTTGATGGAAAATAATGAAATGTTTTGTCTCAGTTTGTTGATGTTGCCCACAAACCTAAATGTGACCTCAGAAGAGCTTGTCTGTGTGTGGATTCTGAACGTCAGTGGGTAAGAGGCAGCGATGAGAAAAGAAGGGGGTGGGGGCAAACATGGACAAAGAAATGTTCAATTATAATTCAATTTGACAAGAGGACATTCATACTTCAAATAAATACATAAATAAATATATTACTATTGACTTTTGCATAATAGACAGACTTTACTTGACATTTTGAAGAATGGAAACAGATCAGAAGACATTGATTCTTGCCTAATGATCTTAATGGTAATTTGCTGTGCAATCCAAAGGCTGAAGATGAAGTCAACATGAATATTAAGAGCCACACACATTGTTTGATCTCAAAACATTAGGTTTGAATTCCTCAATGAAACAATACTATTTAATAGAAGTGATCAGAAATTACATGTTGGTATGTCCATTTGAATACCAGTACCTGATGGGGGAGCATATCTTTTGGGGAGCTGTATCCGATGGGGGAACAGTACCTGATGGGAAAACTGTATCTGATCTAATACTGCTTTGGATAATTGAATAGGCCATAACTATCCTGGTCATTGATCTCCCTTTTTCATAGTTTGCCATTAGTGTCTTTCCCTACATTTGAGGTATAACTGAAGGATACATTAAGAAATTGAAACGGACATGAAACCATAATACTGTAAAGGTGTAGCTGAGCGTAACACCAATTCCATTGTGCTTGTCATTACGTTTTGCCTTCAATTGCCAAGAATTGTCACAAAGTGTGTCGCAAAACTAACTTCAACCCGTATATGGTACAGTTTTGTCAGGGCAAGAAACTATGATTGAGCATGCATGGATAGAATGGTGTTGCAGACTGGGGTTCTAGCATGGGGTATCATACTATTAGTTGTCCAAAGCAGATGATCTTATTCTAGTTTTTATGGTATATTTGATTTGCCTTCTTACTCGCCTACAGTTCATAGACCCATTAATGAATGAGGGTTGTTTCTTGGAAACATTTTAGCATGATTGTCTGTCTGATAAAAACTGAGGTATACAGTAACATTTCTACACTGCAGTGGGCTTATAGATGTAGCTGTGGTATGAGTGCAAATATCTAACTTACGTAGGCAATACGCACTGTGAACCTGGATGCTTATGCACATTTTACTGTATATCTCGACTGTCAGTGCCTTTAGCTTGGATAACTTCAATTACTTTCTTTTGTCCTACTCTACTAGTTAGCTACTGTGGTTATATAAACCAGCATACTATATGGCCATCTGCCAAACTGCTCATCATTGGGTAATGGGAATACTATAACATATGCACAAAGTTGGGTTAAACCTAACGTGGTGATGTGCTGTTATACTGTCCATGTCATGTGATGGAAAAACAGGAGTGCTATGCTTGTTGTCATACAGTGAGGTGTTCTTGGCAATGCCTAAGTCAATTCATAGTTTTTATTTTACATTTATATAAATTCAGTAGTTACATTTTATCTGAGAGGACCTTACTATGAGTCCTCTAATTGTTCCTGTGTTAAATTAGTATGTACATGTGTTGCCATTTAGGATCACCGTCACTGGCGCTTTTGAAGTGCTAATTTCAGTTTTGGGACTTTGACCTGTAATATTGTGTCTCCCAAGCGTTAGGAGCCCATCTTGATGTCAGTTATTTCAAGTGAATAGCTTCAGTACACTGAATTGTCTGAGAATGACACTGAAAATGGATGGTGCCCCAGCTTTAGCTTTCAAAATGGAGGCCTTGAGTCAGTCCGTAGTATTGAACTAGCAAGAAAATGCATGAAAACACACAAAACATTTTTTTTTTAAATAAAAGAAAACATAGTTTTAGTTATACAAAAAGGACACTCCTTCCCTTTTTGAACTTTCAGTGTTTGCTGAAAGTAGAATTGATCTTCTGAGAGATTACTTGTTCGGATTCTCCATGATTATTAGGTCTGAAGACGTGGAGGCCATTTCAGTACATGTCTATTAAAGGTATCCGGGACTCAGGGTCCAATCAGATCCTTCAGTCTCTTACAGACCCTACTAAGATCTCAGGATCTCATCTCCTCCCCTGTAGATCCTCGTCTATAGAGGGAAAGCCAATGGATATCTCATTAGCCTGTTCAGGCCAGTAACATTCCATCTCATTGGCTGCCTAGCTCCCTCTCTCCCTGCAATGTTGGTTGTGCTGTCTCGTGTTAGGACACTACAGACGCAGTATGGTGCCATGCAGGTTCAGAGAGCATCGATCTCCCATTGATCCTTAATGGCTCAGCTCTCACCATCTGCTTCATGTTGGTGCTGCTGGCAACATTTAACCTGATAAATATTGCCATCTTGTACTATCTGTGCTTTAATATGATACATTTGTACTGTTTTAATCCCGATATTAAAAGTGTTTAGTTTCAGTCAAGGGGATTAGGATTTGGCCCCTGAGGCAGTCTTTTCTGAGATGATAAGACATGAACACTGTTTGCACTGGGAGATGGTCTTTTTTTCTTCTCAGGGTCCATATTAGACAACCACCTGGAACAGAGAGCATGGACTCACTGAGAAATTACACACATTCATAATTAAGTCAATTTGCAGTACAGATCAGTATAGTTGTAATAACGCTTACAGTTATTAGTGACCTTAGCCCAAAAATGTGGGTGTCTGTAAAAGCAATGGATAAGTCAAACAATATCCCGAAATGTGCTTATCATTGGTATACCATTTCCCTGTTCGCCAAAGGTCATACAAATATTTTTTATATACATTTGTAAAATAAGTCTGAGATGTGAACTCAATTGAATAATTTGTCTCTTTACCATCGCCCAAGAAGACAACTTCAAATCTCCACATTGGGGTCTGTAAATCCTTTCTTTCCCTCATTTACCAGGACAGGTTTTTCCGTCCTAGTGTGCCAAACGAGAATCTGTAGAGAAATATCAGAGAAAATAATCAGCATCAGGCAGCACTCTCACGATATAACACACACCCATCCACTCCTCCACTCTCCTCTCTCCTCTCCGCGTGGGCTGTGGTGATGTTCTTCTGAGCATCTACTTCTAGATATAGCAACAAGAGCAGTACAGATGGTACAATTGGAAACCTATCTATAACAATGTACTCCGGCGTGTCAGCTCGGCCCTGCTCAACATTATATGATAGTGAATAGAGAGTGGCCGTATTGGAAAAATAAGTACTTGCTCTTCTTTTTGGCTCTTTGTAAGGGATGCTGCTCAGTTCTTTTGGGTGCGTCACGTACCGGTAACTATAGCCCCAATCAAGCCTTTGGAGTGGGATGATTTGGCCCTGGAGACTGGATACACATCCAGGAGATTGATGGTGGAAATGAATCGACGTATAGAGCTCATTTTCTTCCTCTCTCCCCTCAGTCTCTGAGCAGCCCTACCTTTCATCTCCTCCACCTCAGTAATGAATTATGCATGGAGCATGTTTGAGCTGCCTCCACCCTGAGCCAACTCCCACTTTACCCAGGTGTAGATGAGGTTAATAGTCACACTTGCGTCTGAAGAGGTAGATTATAAGGAGGAGAGGTGCAGGAGCACGGCTCATCCCTCTCCCTGTGCTCATCTGGGCTGAATGCATGCTAGGATGCCCCCTGCTCCATTCCACCCCCCTCTTTTCATCTACTCCCCTCCAGGAGTCCTGAATATAATCAGGCTGAATATCCCATCCTGTAAGTGTGAGCGGTGGTGAGCTAAGGCCCCTGGGTGACTCCTCTCTGCCCAGGGAGAGGCTTAGCAGCTGGGGCTACGGCCAGGGCCAGGCAGGGAACAGCCAGGTCGGAGATGAAGTGGGCATGAAACACCACACCGTGCCCTTAAGCCTTTTACAATCACTCCCACTATGTGTGGGGAGCCTGCCAGTTACCTAATCGATCCGCTGACATTTTTAGCACCTGGTTATATATGAAGTTGTTTTGGAGAGAGTGAACTTGCCACTGCCTCTGCACTAAAGTTGGATCCTCCAGAGGATCATCAGAGTATGGATTTCACATTTGCCTGACATTATATAAAATACCAATAGGTAAAATGAGGATATTATGGTGTAAAATGACAGAGTATAACATGTAAAAAGAAAGCATCTATTTTGCTCTATCTACCTTAGTGCAATTAGCTGCTTTGGGCTCCAGGTCGTTGAGTGTGACAAGCTCCCGAAGCAGACTGCTCTCCTGGTAGCCTCCCTTCACTCCCCGCAGCTTGAAGTAGGCCTGGGGCTTGAAGAGAATGAGCCGCAGGTTGATGGCGAAGCCCGCCATGTCGATGGCAAAGGGCCGGTGAGGGTCGAACACAGTCTTCCAGCCGTACACCTTCCCCGCTGCGTTGACCTTGGGCGACTCGTACCGCAGACCACCAACGAAGGCCACGGGCCATACAGATACCTTCCTTGTTGACCTCATCTGGATAGACAGGAAGAGAGGACAGAGAGAGTTACTCATCTTTGTGCTGTTTGTATTTTTAATTAACAGGATCAGTGTATCAGTGTCTATACGAGATGTGCCAAAAAGGCAAGATACAGTAATTACAGGAGACGATAGTTTTCATTGCAAACAATGATACAAATAGAGCTGAAGGCTACGTTGTGTATGTTGCATGTATCACAGGAGCCATGCAGGGCCACCCTGATGGACCCAGCCTAAGAAGAGCAAATGTGGACAGAGCTAAGTGGGTTTGAGGACCAGGGCCATTACAGAGAGTGGATGGGAGAAGAAGAGCAGGTTGGTTGAGGAGATGCTTGAAAGGTGCCGAGCCTCTTCCGTTCCTCAGAGGCTCAGATTTGTCCTTTAGTCTTCCAGCATCAAACAATCTCCCGGCCGCCCGCTCTTTGTCGACTGTAATTCTGCGCCACTGGCAGCGAGAGAGAGCCGGCCAAATCATGAAAGGAAGTGTTCTAATAAGGAGGGCTGAACTGTAGAGTCATTTATCCACACTCAAAGCAGTAGCAATAATACTGGTGCTGGTGTACTGTTGTGGAAGTGTGTAGCAGGGAGAGGAGATTTGTCTGGTGGGTGGGTGGGTAGGACAACACTGTGGAAACAGGGCTCACTCTGTGTGTGTCCCAGTATTCTAGCCGTATCTGATGATCACCCATCAGCCCAGGGGATCAGAGAGGAGACGTGTGTGTGAGAACAGGATGGAGGGGGCCAGGGTTTATGAGTGCAGTTTGGAAACACATCTGGGCCACCGAGACCAGGACTCTGCCAGGCTAGCCACCCAGATAACATTTCGCATGATTGTGTGTTAGGGATGACATCACCCTCTCCCAAGGGTCACGTGTGATTTCTGTTCATTAGAAAACTGACTTTTATCACAAGTTTAGATCATGCATCTTTCCTACGAGTGAAATAGCTGTTTTCCTCAAGGGTTTGGTTCTGGAATGAAACTTGCTCGAGCATCGTCAGGGGGGTTGCCCCTCCCCCTCCATGCTACAATGTGAAAATGAATGTTTCCAATGCTGCCACTGACGGGAATCAGTGCTGAAACAGTACCCCATCCCTCCTCAGTTTAGAGCTGAGCAAGTGGAAATGCCACAAAGTGCTGCCCAATTGTCGTGAATTTTAAGTGTTTGTGCTAAATTTCCTGTTGTCTCTCTCTGTCTGTGTGTGTGTAAACTATGTTTCCTTTACTGGGGCGAGGCGAGTGATGGGGGAGGCCCACAGAGACAGTCTGCCTATGTTCTTGAAGTCAGAGCACAACAAAGGAAACTAATCCCAAACTTTAAAGGGAGACGACAGACATCCAGGTGTATTAATCAATCTGGAGCGCGGGAGAGAGTGAGGAGATGGGGATCTGTACTGGTTCACAGAGGCTCTAAAGTGAGTTGTCATCAGAAACAGACTGATATTGTAATCGGGTGATTATACTGCTATAGGTTGATTATCTGTCTTTAATATATGGAATTGATGGCTTAGTCAATAGAGAACACAGTAGGAAATGGTTAGTTCAACTCCTAAACTGTGGCCCATTTTCATCAGTACACCACATGATACCTAAACCAGAAGCAATATCATTCTATTTACCTTTTATATCAAATACTTATTTTATAATCTAAAAAAGTATTCAACTTAGGTGATATATTCTGTTCTAAGTGATCTGGTTCACAATGTTGAATGTGGATGCTGAAGGAGAAGGATACAGAAGGATAAATATGATAAAAATAGATGCAGGCGCTGCCTGTAAATATTCCTTGTGGCTTTGGAAAGGCAACATAAGCATTTTTTATGAAAGCTTAATAATTAATGCACCCCTTTACAGTGATGTTGTTTAACTATGGCAGATGCATATTTCATGAGCTACACTACATGACCAAAAGTATGTGGACACCTGCTTGTCGAACATCTCATTCCAAAATAATGGGCATTAATATGGAGTTGGTACCCCCTTTGCTGCTATAACAGCCTCCGCTCTTCTGGGAAGGCTTTCCACTCAGTGTTGGAATATTGCTACGGGGACTTGCTTCCATTCAGCCACGAGCATTAGTGAGGTCGGGCACTGATGTTGGGCAATTAGGACTGGCTCGCAGTCTGCATTCCAATTCATCCCAAAGGTGTTCGATGGGGTTGAGGTCAGGGCTCTGTGCAGGCCAGTCAAGTTCTTCCACACCGATCTTGACAAAGCATTTCTGTATGGACCTCATTTTGTGCACGGGGGCATTGTCATGCTGAAACAGGAAAGGTCCTTCCCCAAACTGTTGTCACAAAGTTGAAAGCACAGAATTGACTAGAATATAATTGTAGGCTATACTGTAGCGTTAAGATTTCCCTTCACTGGAACTACCCGTAGCTGCTTTGGGCTCCAGGTCGTTGAGTGTGACAAGCTCCCGAAGCAGGCTGCTCTCCTGGTAGCCTCCCTACACTCCCCTCAGCTTGAAGTAGGCCTGGGGCTTGAAGAGAATGAGCCGCAGGTTGATGGCGAAGCCCGCCATGTCTAACCCAAACCATGAAAAACAGCCCCAGACCATTATTCCTCCTCCACCAAACTTTACCGTTGGCACTATGCATTGGGGCAGGTAGCGTTCTCCTGGCATCCGCCAAACCCAGATTCGTCCGTCGGACTGCCAGATGGTGAAGCGTGATTCATCACTCCAGAGAATGGGTTTCCACTGCTCCAGTGTTCAATGGCGGCAAGCTTTACACCACTCCAGCCGACACTTGGCATTGCGCATGGTGATCTTAGGCTTAGCTTGGCTGCTCGGCCATGGAAACCAATTTCATGAAGCTCCCGACGAACAGTTCTTGTGCTGACGTTGCTTCCAGAGGCAGTTTGGAACTCGTTAGTGAGTGTTGCAAATGAGGACAGACGTGCAACGCTCTTCAGCACTCGGCGGTCCCGTTCTGTGTACTTGTGTGGCCTACCACTTCGCGGCTGAGCCGTTGTTGCTCATAGACGTTTCCACTTCACAATAACAGCACTTACAGTCGACCGGGGCAGCTCTAGCAGGGCAGAAATTTGACGAGCTGACTTGTTGGAAAGGTGACATCCCATGACAGTGCCACGTTGAATGTCACTGAGCCGTTCTACTGCCAATGTTTGTCTATGGAGATTGCATGGCTGTGTGCTCGATTTTATACACCTGTCAGCAACGGGTGTGGCTGAAATAGCTGAATCCACTCATTTGAAGGGGTGTCCACGTACTTTTGTATATATAGTGTGTTTTAATTTTCACAATTTACAGCAGAGTCTCTGCCCATGTCTCTCGACATGGAATGTTTCCCATGGTTTGGTTTGGACTTAAAACGGGGTATAGAGAAACACAATTTTGCTGGTTTTGAGAACATCTTGCTTCTGCTCTGGGTGAGAGAATCTGCCTAATGTAGTGTAATGGAGCAACACCAGAAGGTTAGGTTGGCCATTACAGTTCCTTGCTGTATGTATTTGATTCAGCCGTTGTATTTGTAACCTGTGTATCCACATCATATTATTGCCAACTCTGGGCAAGAGTTCATGACATTACACTCATAGAAAAAAGGGTTCCAAAAGGGTTCTTCGGCTGTCACCATAAGAGAACCCTTTTTGGTTCCAAGTAGAAACCTTTTTGGTTCCAGGCAGAACTCTTTTGGGTTCCATGGAAAACCCTCTGGGGAAAGGGTTGTACATGGAACCCAATAGGGTTCTACCTGGAACCAAAAAGGGTTCTTCAAAGGGTTCTCCTATGGGGACAGCAGAAGAACCCTTTTAGGTTCTGGATAGCACCTTTTTTTCTAATAGTGTATGAATGATTTAATTTGTACCAGTTTTCATATTTCAAATGTCAGGTCAAGCTGAACACGCTGGCATCTTTCCATTCAGGTTAATTCAAGTCCAGATCACAACAACATGACATATCCAACTGCAATCTCTTGGATGGATGTCTACTTTCAACCTCTTCGCATGTAGCTGTTATAGCCATCCCCTCCATGACTTACACCTGTTAGCAGGTCGATGAGAATGGTCTGATATTTACTGCTACAGTTGGGTCGGAGTGGTTTCTCACTGACTCTCTCTATCGGTCAGCCCAGAGGCAGCTAGCTCAAGCTCAGCTCTATAGGTTGTTACTCTCCCCTATAAAGAGCGCTGGTGCTGGGTGTAAGTGATGGAAGGCTTCTAGGGAGAGGGAGAGCACTCTGCCTGATTTCCAGGGAAAGGTAATGACAGGCCCATCGATACAGACCGCACCATTTACAACCTGCCCCGTTCACACTAACAAGACCTGAGGCTAATGCCTCAGGGCTCAACAGCATCCATTCAAGCCAATGTGTCTTGACTCAAAATGGATGGCCTGAGGCACTGATTACCAAGTTCAAACTTATCCTCAACCACTGTTGTTGGTAATGGGAATCAAAATACTTCAGGCAATAACTACAATATATTACTACTAGGAGTAGGAGTAGCCACCATTCATGTTAAAATACATTCGATTAATTCTTAAATTAAATTAGGAGCCGTGTAAAACGACAAAAATATGTACATTATGTGTTGTAAACTACCCACTACCATTATATTCAGTGTTACTAAAGTGAATCTAGTGGACTGGACGTGGCCATGAGAGGCCTGTACTGACCTCCTCAAACAGCTCCAGGCTATAGGTGTTGTCATCATCAGCGAAGTAGACAATGCCTGCCTGGCTGCTGTTGGAGTTGAAGGTCTCTCTGAGCCAGCGCAGCGCCAGGTTCCTCTGCATGGTGCCCCGGGGTATCCTGGGGTCCCGCGTGTCCCCACGCAACTTATAGTTCCTGGGAGTCTCCACGTTCAGGTGGGTGTAGTTGAGGCCCGTTTCCCGGAGCATGCGTGTGACCAGCGGGGTCCTCCTCTGAGAGTCCTCCACCAGTATCCAGTGCAGGTTGGACACGTGGAGGAAGGTGTTGGCCAGCCGCGTCAGCTCTGCCTTCTGGACCGGGCGGCTGTAGGTGGGGGTGATGATGTGGATGGTGGGCAGCACGTCGGACCATGGCGGCGGCCGCGTGTACACGTACTCCGTCCTCACCACCTCCACTATGTCCTTATCAGAGGAGCAGTACTCCTTAGAGTCGCTGGCCTGGCCCGCCTCCCTCCGCCCTCCGTCGGCTCCATCATCTGCAGGGGAACAGGAAGACATGTAAGGCATTAGCACGCCCCGGGGGCGGGGTTGCCCGCTGTATAATCTCAGGTGACACAATCCAAGAGGCAAGTACCTGCGAGTCGGTGTCGATGGACTGCAAGCCTCTCTGGTATGATAAAGATCTCTTTTACTAGGTGGTGACAGGCTGCAAAAAGCGAAAGCAGGCAGCGTGAGGTGAGTGGACAACATGGCTACAGTATGGTTAGGGCAGCGGCTACACTGGCTGCCTCTACTCATTCAGCTGGAACAGCCATGGCAGGGACAGGGTCTATTCCAGTAGTGGAGCTATGATTATGTGGCCCTCATAGCCCTCTATGATGGATAGAATATCATTATTGGATCATTAAGGTAGTTCATTTCTCCCCACATTGTTCCATAGCTAATGGCAATTTTTATCGGCGCTCAGTTAGAGCGGAGGTTCTCACTTCAGACATAAAAATTATATTTCTGCATCACACAGCAGATTAACACAATCTCCTGATGGCCAGATGTTCTGCGGTGGCTGCCAGAAAGCATTCTGGCAACCCCCTGCTCCTTTTAAGACAAAACAAAGAGAAGGCTGCAGATGATTTGTGGACACCTGCCTATATTACATCCTACATTTCACCTTGATGGCAAATGGAAGGAGGCAAAGAACGCTATTGATTTACTGTCACCTTAAAGGCCCAGTGGTGTCAAAAATGGAATTTTCCTGTTTTTTTATATATATTTCCACAATGAGGTTGGAATAATACTGTGAAAACGATGATAATGCTGTTTTAGTGTAAGAGCTGTTTGAAAAGACTGCCTGAAATTTCAGCCTGTTTTGGTGGGAATGAGTTTTGGCCTACCTGGCGACATCACCAGGCGGTATAAGTTAATAATAACAATAACAAAGAGTTTCAAACCTCTCTGCCAATAATGGCTAGCTTTCAGGTTACACATCCCTCCCCTTAGGTTCGTCCAATTAGGTCCCTCACTCAGACCACTCATTTACATTTAAGTCATTTAGCAGACGCTCTTATCCAGGGCGACTTACAAATTGGTGCATTCAACTTAGGATAGCCTCCGCTGTCCTGGCGTCGTGGGGGAGCTTGTTTCACCATTGGGGTGCCAGAGCAGCGAATAGCTTTGACTGGGCTGAGCGGGAGCTGTGCTTCCGTAGAGGTAGGGGGGCTAGCAGGCCAGAGGTGGATGAACGTAGTGCCCTCGTTTGGGTGTAGGGTCTGATCAGAGCCTGAACGTAAGGAGGTGCCGTTCCCCTCACAGCTCCGTAGGCAAGCACCATGGTTTTGTAGTAGATGTGAGCTTCAACTGGAAGCCAGTGGAGTGTGCGGAGGAGCGGGGTGACATGAGAGAACTTGGGAAGGTTGAACACCAGACGGGCTGCAGCGTTCTGGATGAGTTGTAGGGGTTTAATGGCACAGGCAGGGAGCCCAGCCAATAGCGAGTTGCAGTAATCCAGACGGGAGATGACAAGTGCCTGGATTAGGACCTGTACTGCTTTCTGTGTAAGAAAGCGGGACAGACAGTCCTAGCAAAATTATTGCTTGAGAAATTGCTCTTTGTTAAGAAGCTATTTTTGTTTCTTTTTGATACTTAATTGTTACCCAGAAATGATTTGATATTGAGATAAAAACAGCTGCATTGGGCCTTTTTAATATGGTTCTGTTCACCAGACAGAGTACTGTACTTGACATATCACACTGTTGGTTTATTATGGTCACTTAGGGTCACATTTATGGGGGGGGGGTCATAATGTGAGAGTGTGATAACGTCTCAGGCTTGTGTACAGTATGTAGAAGCCACATAAACACATTGACTCAGGAGATTCAATAAAGCCTGCCTGGAAGCCATTAGGGAACAGTGATTATTATTTCAGATGCTGATTAAAGGGCATTAGAAATTAATCTAGTCTCCTTTTGATTTGAAAAGTCTGCTACAGTTTAACTGCTAAATAGATTAGCTGAATGGCTGCTGAAGACCATATGCTGAGAGTAAATTAGCTTTACTCCAAGCACAGGCTGCGGATGGGGCTGCACGAATCAAAGGCCACTTACCAAGAAGTGCATTTTGGATAGCCTTAACTGACAAATGACCTATATTACAATCTGATGACGCACACCACCACGTAGGGATCTATAACAGACCCTGTGGAAGGCATTTGTTGTACTGTACCATGATATTCTGTAACTGGGCATGTGACCTGATTGGATTGGATGAATTGGCTATTGAATAGTCCTACACCATGCAACAGAGGACCTATGAGAAAGTGGAGGATGTACCCTTTCGGATGGCAAGCAGCGGAGCGATTGCGCTTTGGTGCCAAACGGTGATGAGCAGAGTCCACGGTAACACTATCAACACGATGGCAAGAATGTCTCTTCTCTTCGGCATCTCCAGGATTGGTTTTATGTCTCTTCATTACCTGCCAGGAGAGAGGAGGAGCAAGAAACATGTCAACAACAAAGGCCGCTAGCTAAATAATCCACTCTGCATTTTATTTCAAAATGACAAGATATGGTGGGTTGGCTGAGAGAGCCACTGACTTTTTCTACCCTGAGGAAGGTGACAGTCTTTTAGCACAGCAACATAATACCACGTCAATTCTGTTTATCTTCCCGCCGTATATATACTCAATTTATACACATGCTGTCAGGCAGAAGGCTTAATTTCCTAAGTGTGAATGCATCTGACACAACATAAGCCCCATAAAAGCCTCCCACTGATAAAGAAATGGGTCAAGAAGAGTTTTAAGCAGTTCTTTCTGCCTCAGTGGAGAGTAGGCAGAGGGAAGTCCTCAGAGGAAATTGCCATTGCTGTGCTGCCTGAGTATCTAGAACTGTTTACAGACGGGCACTATCTGGAACAAATCATTTTACCCCTTTTGAATATGCACATTTCATTGCTTTGGAATATCAGCGATTAGACTGATGGATCAATGTGTTTGTGCTGTGGAAGGCATCCGTGCTGTGAGACTAATATGGTATCATGCACTCATTAAAGCCTATCATAAGCAGACCTATGGCCATATTACAACAATGGCTGTAATGTATTGTGATAAACATGTTGATGAGTATGGTAAATGACTATGATTCCTCACCCACGGTTAGAACTGGATCATGGCACCATCAGTGGTGCAGCTGGAGGAGCAGGGGCCGCACAGCAGCAGCACGTGGAGCAGAGTGGTGTGATCGTCCACGACATCTCAGCCAGCCATGCCTCCTCCTCACACAGCCAGGAAACACCACCCGGAGACCTAGATGGAAGTCAACCGGCCAGTGCTTAGTCACCGCATCAGTCAGTCACATTATAGGAAGACATGACATCAGTCACATTAGGATGCTATTCGGACCATGTGCACGTTAAGTAAACCAAACCCTTCCGGAAACCAAGCCCCATGTTTACCAGCACTCCAAAGATGACAACATCAACTCCGTGAGCTTCATTCTTATGTCAACTCTAGGAGTCAATAACTGTACTCAAGTATCGGACAAGGTTGCCTAGCAATCTACCTCGGCTGCATGTGCATCCACAATGTAATATCCCTGTCTCAACCATCATTAAAAAAAAAAAAATGTATGTCAGGGCTCCCCAACTGGCAGGCCGCGGGGAGGATTTATTTGCCCCCCAAGTTTTCTGTGCAAACAAATTTTTTTATTTCATTTTAATTGTTGGACATAACCTGTAAAAACACCAGGAATTCAGCTCCATGTGATTAAAAATTTGGAAATCTGTTCCCAAGTATTCCCACGCTTAATAGAGAGACACATCTGATCGTATACAAATGTAAGCAAGGTTTGAAATAATTATGTTTTATTCAAATATTATATCTGTTTGGGCTTCTTGCGGTCAATTTGAAGTCTATGAATTATTTGTGTAATTATGTGTCACGGATTCAGCCGAGGCTGCTCCTCCTCCTTGCTCGGGCAGGCTTCAGAGTTCGTCGTCCCCGGAGTACTAGCTGCTGCCGATCGATGTTTCGGTGTTTGTCTTGTTTAGTCTTTATTGTTTACACCTGTTTCCCATTATGTTTGATTGTGTTCCCTTTAATACCCTCTGTTTCTCATTGTGTATTGTGCGTTATTGTTTTTGGTCTTTGCGGCAGTTGCCCATGTGTGCGGGTCTTGTTATTTCCCTCGCTGTTCGAGGTTGCCAGTGTACTTTGTTTTGTTGCACTGAATCTAGTAAAGTTCTGCCAGTAGCTCGGTGTCCTGCTCTTGACTTCGCCTACCACATACACGTCGCCTTGACAGAATAACGCACCTATTAGACATGGAGTCAGCAGGAGCGGCGGTGCCAGCTGGATCAATAGAAGAGCACGTAGAACAACAAGCGGCTATGATCCAGGCTCTCGGCACCGCCATGGAACAGGTGGTGAAAACCGTGGAGCGATGGGAAAGAAGAAGTTGGTCTACACCTCCTCCGACGATACCACCACCATCAGCTATGCCCATCGCTTCATCTCCGGGGTCCAGTGGGATTCGGCTCTCGCTCCCGAGGGCTTATGATGGCACAGCTGCCGGGTGTCAGGGTTTCCTGCTCCAGGTGGAACTCTACCTGGCAACCATCCACCCGGCGCCCTCGGGATACGAGAGCGTGTCCGCCCTCATCTCCTGTCTGTCTGGCAAGGCGCTGGAGTGGGCCAACGCCGAGTGGGGGGGAATAGACGCCGACACAGTCAACTATGCAGAGTTCACCCGCCGCATATTCGATCATCCACCAGAGGGTAAGGCGGCGGGTGAACGTCTATTCCACCTTCGACAGGGGAGGAGGAGCGCGCAGGAGTTCGCACTGGACTTCCGGACACTGGCTGCCATCGCGGGATGGAATGAGAGGGCCCTCATCGACCACTACAGATGTAGCCTGAGGGAGGACGTGCGTCGGGAATTGGCCTGCAGGGACACCAACCTAACCTTCGATCAACTGGTGGACATGTCGATTCGCCTGGACACCCTGTTGGCTACCCGCGGACGTCCGGACTCGGGGCCGTCCATTCCATCCCCCAGCACTTCCGAGCCGACCCCGATGGAGCTCGGAGGTGCTGGTACTAGGAGAGAGACCAGGAGAGAGGCCGTCCCCTGCACCAACTGTGGCCGCAGAGGACACACTGCTGGTCGGTGCTGGGGAGGGTCTCCTCGGAATCGAGGCAGTAGGCTGCGCACTGATGAGTCATTCCAGGTGAGTAGGCGCCCAACTCACCCAGAGCTCCCTGTTGCGCATATGTGTATTAAAGTTGTGTTTCCCGAGGTTTCTCCTCATTCCCAGCATAAGGCGCTAGTCGATTCAGGCGCAGCTGGGAATGCTGGGATGGTCTGATCAGTGTGTCGGGAGGTGTGTGGGTGTTTCCGTAGGGGCCACGATGGTGGAAAGTCCGAACCAAGTTCCCATCATGCACATTCCACCTGAATATGCCGATTTGGCTCTCGCCTTCTGTAAAGAGAAGGCGAATCAATTACCACCCCATCGACAGGGGGATTGTGCGATAAACCTCCAAGTAGGCGCTGCGCTTCCACGTAGCCATGTGTATCCTCTGTCTCAGGAGGAGACGGCGGCTATGAAAACATATGTCGCCGAATCGCTGAGACAGGGATACATACGGCCGTCCACTTACCCTGCGTCCTCAAGTTTCTTTTTTGTGAAGAAGAAAGAAGGGGGTTTACGCCCGTGTATTGACTACCGTGGTCTCAATCAGATCACCATCAAATATAGCTATCCTCTCCCTCTGATTGCTAGTATGACGGAGTCATTACACGGGGCGCGATTCTTCACAAAATTGGATCTCAGGAGCGTGTACAACCTGGTGCGCATTAGGGAGGGAGATGAGTGGAAGACAGCATTCAGTACCACCTCGGGTCACTATGAGTACCTCGTCATGCCATACGGGTTAATGAATGCTCCTTCAGTCTTCCAATCGTTTGTGGATGAGATTTTCCGGGACTTACATGGACAGGGTGTAGTGGTGTATATTGATGACATTCTAATATACTCCGCTACCCGCGCAGAGCATGTGTCCCTGGTTCGTCGGGTGCTTGGTAGACTGTTGGAGGATGACCTGTATGCAAAGGCGGAGAAATGTCTGTTCTTCCAGGAGTCCATCTCCTTCCTGGGACACCGGTTGTCCGCGTCAGGTGTGGAGATGGAGATTGACCGTGTTTCAGCCGTGTGCAATTGGCCGACTCCCTCCACGGTGAAGGAGGTGCAGCGGTTCTTGGGTTTTGCCAATTACTACCGGAGGTTTATCCGGGGCTTTGGGCAGGTAGCAGCTCCCATTACCTCTCTGCTAAGGGGGGGGTCCGGTGCATCTGCAGTGGTCGGCTGAGGCGGACAGGGCTTTTGGGCATCTGAAGGACCTGTTTACCTCGGCTCCGGTGCTGGCGCATCCGGATCCCTCTTTGGCGTTCCAAGTTGAGGTGGATGCGTCCGAGGCTGGGATCGGTGCTGTACTGTCTCAGCGCACGGGTACGCCACCTAAACTCCACCCCTGTGCTTTCTTTTCTAAGAAGCTTAGTCCGGCGGAGCGCAATTATGATGTGGGGGACAGGGAGCTGTTGGCTGTGGTGCAAGCCCTGAAGGTGTGGAGGCATTGGCTTGAGGGGGCTAAACACCCTTTTCTCATTTTGACTGACCATCGTAACCTGGAGTACATCCGGGCGGCGAGGAGGCTGAACCCTCGCCAGGCTAGGTGGGCTATGTTTTTCACCCGATTTGTGTTTACGCTCACCTATAGACCAGGGTCACAGAACGCTAAGGCAGACGCCCTGTCCCGACAATATGACACAGAGGAGAGGTCCATTGAGCCTACTCCCATACTTCCGGAGTCTTGTCTGGTGGCACCGGTGGTATGGGAGGTTGATGCCGACATTGAGCGGGCGTTACGTACCGATCCTACTCCCCCACAGTGTCCAGAGGGTCGGAAGTACGTGCCGCTCGAGGTTCGTGATCGATTAATATATTGGGCTCACATGTCACCTTCCTCTGGCCATCCTGGTATTGGACAGACAGTGCACTGCCTTATTGGAAAGTACTGGTGGCCCACTTTGGCTAAGGACGTGAGGGTTTATGTTTCCTCCTGCTCGGTGTGCACTCAGTGTAAGGCGCCTAGACACCTACCCAGAGGGAAATTACAACCCCTACCCGTTCCACAACGACCGTGGTCTCACCTCTCGGTGGATTTCGTCACGGACCTTCCCCCCTCCCAGGGGAATACGACGATCTTGGTAATTCTGGATCGGTTTTCAAAGGCCTGCCGTCTTATTCCTATGCCAGGTCTCCCTACAGCCCTACAAACTGCTGACGCCCTGTTTACTCACGTCTTCCGGCACTACGGGGTACCTGAGGATATAGTGTCTGATCGGGGTCCCCAGTTCACCTCTAGAGTCTGGAGGGCGTTTATG